TAGGATTGCAGGAGAATAGCACCAAATTTTCAGTAATAATTGCCACAAAAGTTAGTTGTAAAAATCTGTGAGGTTGGTGTGCAAGTGCAGATAGCTTCCGCCAAGTCTAATGACATTAAGTTTGATCACTGGAACCCATGTGGTAGAAGGAAAATTGACTCCTGAAAATTGTACCCTGACCTCCACACATGCATATGTGAATAAACACACACACAATAAACAGATCTAAGAAAACTTCAAGTGTAAATTAATTCTTGAAAAACTCTATGAGATGCAACCCCCCATTTGTATGATTTTCAAAAGGCTTTTTCCATAAAAATAAAGACAAACACAGGATATATGCTATCACCACATTTATTCAAACTGACATCACATGGCTTCAGTTAATACACACTGAGAACACAGAATTCCAAAAATGCATAGGTTACAAAGAAACGTCAGACAAGCTCAAACTCAAGGATATTCCACAAATAAACCAGTACCTTCAAAATGCCATGCTACCAAGTACAGACAGGCGAGAAACTGTTCCACATCAAGGAAACCAACAAAGTATCCATGGATTCCATAATTGTGGCTCAAATCCATGACCTACAAAGGACATTTTGAGATAATTTGCAAAATTTTAATAAGGTCTGCAGAGTAGATAGATGAGATCAATGTTGACTTCCTGGTTTTGACTATCTAAATATTCAGGAGAACACCTTAGCCTAGAGGCTGCCACCAACACAGTTCCCGGCTCTGTGGCACATCTGGATTAAAACCAGAAATTCTGTGGTCATCAATCTCAGTTACCTGCAAGCAATCTACCATGAAAGGATTGAGAGCATGAGGTGATGTGCTGATACTGAAACTGAGAACTGACTGAGCACAGGGAAAAGAATGTCATGACGGGCATGAATAGGAGAGTCAAAAGATCAAGAGGGCGTGCAGCACTCAAGTGAGCCACAAAAACACACCCAAAAGACAACTATGCTGACCAGTCTTGGATCTGAGTAAGAGCCATGAAGGGAACAAAGCTAGCCTCACACCTGCTGGCTTTCTCATTTGTTGTCAGGAGACAAAGATTCTGGTGGTAGTGTCAGTAAAACTGAGAGCTGGGAGGTAAAACACAGCAGCAGAGCACCTGATTCACATGCACAAGGCCCTGGATTCAACTCTCAGAGGCACAAATATAAAAAAATAAACACTTAAGTAAATTTAAAACTAACTGCTAAAAAGTAAAAAGTTAATAAAAAACCCAAATACTCAGCATGCTATAACAAAGAAGACTCTCAAAACCAACCAAACAAAAACAAAAAAAACCAAAAAACCCTAATCATGATAAAGGAAACAAAGCAAAAAACAAACAAACAAAAACCAAAATCAAAAAACTACCAAAAATCCTACATAAAGACTAACATAAAAAAGTACCATTTTTAATAAACTAAGCAGGGAAAACTAAGGAGACAGAAACTAGAAAAGAGATGGCCTATAACTGGGAGTTAACTACTCTATGCCCCAATCTTCTCAATTCATAGTGATCATTACAGAATTCAACAAGGCTCCCAAATACAAAGATCAAGGGACATGATACAGTTAAAGCTTAGGAAAATGTGCTGTACTCAGGAAGGGCTCAAAACGTACTTACACTAAATTTGGGAGTAATAAATCTGGTAAATAAATTTCTTTCTAGGTTCAAAAGTTATTAAAATAAATAAACAAACCTAGAAATAATGTAAAGGTTCATCCTGAACCTAATCCTTATTCACAACAAATAATTTTTAAAAATGAAGCCGTTGGCTTAAAATACTTAGAACTTCATACATATAAAGTATAAGAACAAAGGGAAATGTTTTAAATTATCACTTTTTACCCCTTAATATCTGAATTCATTTCCTCAAGTTGGCATTTTGGTGTGTAATTCTGTAATTCCATGATTCTAAACATAAAAGTCCTTTACTAAAAAGTAATTTCTCATTGTAAAGAGTAAGATAATTCTCATTTTAACAACAAATTCTGTAAGTCAATAATTCTAGGGTCAAAAACACCTATTTCACTATTCTCTCACATATCTTCCATGTCGTCGTCCTGTTGTCACTATCCTATGTCATGGCACTAGAAGACAGGGAGGTAGATGGGAGGTTTGGGAGTCTCCTTTCCCCAAAGGGGTCAAATGGTGGTATGGATCCTGTCCCTGAACTCAATCCTTACAGTACAGGTGCACAAGTAAAGCACGGCTGCCCCATCACTCCACCAGGCAATTTAGTGGTTGTTCAATCTTTTTAAATAACTACTGATTTTAGTACAACCTGTGCATCTTTGGTTAAACTATTTTCTCGCCAGCATCAACATTTGCACTCTTTTATTTATCATCTCTCAGGCCTTTTACATAGTCACTTCAGACTTGGTTACTCTCTGATTCTTTTTAAATATTTCCAGGAAAAGGTTCTGACATGAGGAGAGAGTACACACAAATTTCAATATTTAATAAATTTATCTTGATAACATCAAAACAAGTTTACACTTTAACTTGCATTATAAAAAATACATCGGTCTTCACATTAGTTTTACATGGAAATATATAATTATTTGAATATTTAAATATAGCTTTTCTTTAAGCAAAAAAAAAAGATACTCAGAGCCCTAGTTACATAAATAAATGCACAAATGCAAAAACACTCTTTCTACAATATTGTCCACACACTGTATACACCAGGACAGTTACAATAAAAATCTATTCAAGATACTAAAAAGGACAAGATTAACAAAATGTTCATTATGGTTGTAATTTGATGTACTACTATTAAAAGAATATAATGCACTCTTGACTACACAAAATAAGCAATTGTTTCAACCTAGCCTGAAAATTAAGCCATTTATGTAAAGGGGCACATCTTGTATCCTATCAAATTCTGAAAAATTCACTTCCAATTTAATTTTTTATAATTTCAAGTTTCCAAGCTTGCCTAAAACATTCCTTAGAAGAACTTAGTAAATACTTGCAAAATGCTAAACAAAACCATCATTTCTGTAGCAGACATTTTATATTTGGGTGATGTCAGTTTTACCTAGGAATCTTTTCCTTAAAATAGTATTTAGAAGAGTTTCCAATTTGAAAGAAAACCATAACATTTTTGAACTTTAAATTTTGATCATTTGAATTATAAGAATGACCCTCATTGTAGGACATAATCACAACAGACATAATTTGGCTACTTCCATGGTAGGTTATTTGGGTCTGAACTCTCATTTTAACTGACATTGCAGGCATGCTTGTTTAGTGGGTGTCTATGAACTACAAAAGATCAATACCTGCAAACACAGTGCTTTTACGGGTTACTTCATAATCAGCCAAACAGAGTTTTCTTCCTTAATTAAAACTTGAAGATTTAAAAAAAAAAAAAAAAAAAAAAAACTAGTGGCTCATTGAGATTTTTTTTAAGAAAGGGAATTAGAATGTTTGTATATAAGAAGGCAAGGTTGAAGAAATTAAACACGTCACTTGCCAACTAAAAAAAAAAAAAAAAAACCACATTTGTCCACTCTACAATATAATTACCATTTATATTTAGAAGCAATGACAATAGTATCACCATTAATGACTCACAGGTTAAATAATGGCCCCTGAAACAAAACCACATTGATATTTCATTAATCCTAAGGTAACACAGTTTTATCTCTGAAATCAAGACACAGTTTAACACTGACTCTAGTTCAATAAAATATAGCAGTTACACAATAAAGGGAAACTTTGTGTTTCCTTGTAACATCAATGACAGAAAAAGGTTGAGGTCTTGACTGAACAAGACAATAGGATGCATCTGCACCAGCTCAGTCAATGTCCCTTAAAGGAATATACTCAAGTACCAGAGGCTCACACTGTGTATCCAAGCATCTTTTATCTTAACTGTTAAATCAATTAGGTAGTTTAAGATAAAATGTCAAGTCAGTTTAGCCTTGAACTATCTAACTAGTTAAAGACAATTAGGTAGTTTAAGATGAACTGGTTGGTGTATACATCATTTTTCACTTGTAAAGTGGGTCTCTAGTTAAGTTGCTAGTTTAAGTTTTCTGAAATGTTTAAGTATTTCACCAATGACAATTAATGGCCAGACCACACACTATTATCAAACCAGTAACTTCAGTTCAATATTTTAAGATGTCTGAAATATTAATAAATAATAAAATTACCTGGATTTTCATCTTAGATTACCAGTTAAGGGGGGAAAAAGGTAGTTTAAAAACCTAATCACATTTGCAAAATCTTTTTTCCATGTAAGGTTAATAATGCTAACAAACAGATTTGTGGGTGTATGTGTCCAAATAAGGGAAGCTACAGACTTGCAGATCCAATTTAAATGAAAGAGGAAGAATTTCTGTTGTCTATAAAAATCACCAGGCACTTTAAAAAAAAAAAAAACTGGATTAATTATTTTGTGGAATAAGGTGCCTTTAAAAGAAAAAGATTTATATTTTTGTGATCATTCAAGTTAATCATATTCAAAAACTGAGATAGCACAATGTCGCTCTTTTTATTTATCCTGTTAGAATAGTTACTGACGATTAAACTTGTAAGTGTGGTAAATAAGTAAATAGATATCCATTCAATTATTTAAAAGATGACACTAGTAAGTTTGCTGTGTTCACTCTCCGAGTGTTATAACTTTTTGGCACGATAGATTTTCAGAGGAAATGAGTACGGACATGATTTAAGGGACAAAATTCTATATACTATGCTAAATTATAAGACAAATTAAGATGAAGCTCTTCTACAGAAACGGGACAAAGGTTGCTTTTAAACAAAACAAAACAAAAAAAAAACAAAAAAAAAAAAAAAAAAAAAAAAAGACCCTAAACACTAAATTTTAAATGAATATAAAATCTCCGAAAAATAATATCTGTAGCAAAATAGTGTCAAGTCAGGTTCCCTACCAAAGCTGGGAAAGTCTGTGAGCTCAAGTCCGTGTGTGTTCCATCCAGGGGCGGGCTGATGTCGCCGCCGGCAGCTGTGGCCCGCGCTTCTACTTTGCCTCATTGCTTCGGGATTTGCTTGCAAGCCTGGTCACCATCCTGTCGGTACTTGTTGAGGAACTGGAGCTTCTCAGGTCATATTCTCTCACAGGAAGAAGTTTCTTCTTTCTTCGGTAGCGCCTTTTCCGGTAGTGCTTTCTTCCCGCAGCACTGGGAAGATGAGTAGTAGTCGTCGTCGTCGTCGTTGTCGTCGTCGTCGTCGTCGTCGCAGTAGTAGTAGTAGTAGGCAGCTCTACAGGCGGGGCAGGAGCGCTTGAGTGCTCTTCAGCAACAGCTGGGCGAAGGGCAAGGCTCAACCGCGCCGCTGCAGCTGCTCTCTTGACCTCCTTTATCTTCCTGGCGACCAATTTCTTCTTCCTCAGTTGCCTTCGAATAAGAACAGTCTTTGACTGAAGCTTCCGGGGCACACTAGGGCATGTAGAAACATACTTCCTAACGACGTCGTTTGCTTTCAGCCGAATCCAAATAGCCAGTTTTTCTGAAGCTAGTTTTGATTTTTTCCGGAGAACCACTGTTTTGAAAGCATTCTTGAGTAAGTTTGATTGATGTATCGCTGCCAACTTCTTTTTCCAGAATTTCCTTGGATTTTTACTATCAAGAACCTCCTTTTGAACTGGTTTGGGAGGAATTTTGGCACTGTCCTGATTTGAATGAGTCTGCTGGACATTGTCCTTTGGAGTTGCAGTAGCACCGACACCTGAATTTTCTGGATATGAAGACTGAATGAGCCCGAGGTATCTCAACACACATCTTTTCTTCGGCATTGCCATCTTAGTTGCTGAAATCAAGCTTGATCTGTTGGCACCATTCTGTCCTGCACTGGACCTTGGATCATTCCTACTAAGATCACTGCCAGCTACCTCCTGTCTGTCATGCTCTGGTACCGTTAGGTTCTGTGGAGGGTTAATTACAGTTTTCTTACGTGGTGCACTAGGAGCGCTGTGTATGAACTGTAAATTCTTGTCACTGCCAGGCTTTGCTTTAGGTGGGTTCAAAGACTGATCTTCCTTCATACTTAGAGAAGAGAAAATATAGACTAAGTTGTCGGGCTGGGCAGGCTCTTTAGTTTGTGGCACTGGTAACTCAGTTTGCTCTTTTTTTTTTTTCTGGCTGTCCTGATGGAAGTGCTTTCTTTTTGGTAAGTCGTCTTCTTGTTCTGACATTTTTCTTTTCTTCCCAGAACTTTCTTGAGTTCCACATCTGACTTCTTCTACCTGGTTCTCAGAAGCCGCATGCTCCTGTTGCTGCTGAAGCCCCTCTGCTTGAGAACAAGATGGTGTAACTACGGCCACAGAGAAGTCGCTGGTGTCTCCAACTTTGCCTTCAGTATATTCAAGATGTGGCAGAGTGTGAACTGATGGAGCGTTCTGATAAAAGTTAAACAAGGCGGCCTTTTCTTCTTCATTCAAAATAATTTTCTTGGTTTCAGAGCAATCATCATAACTATAGACATGACCTTGAAATTCCTGTGTGTTTGTTCTCACTTCATCTTCGCTCACCTGAGGTGGAGTTTCGCCCACCTGAGATGGAGTTTCGCTCACCTGAGATGGAGTTTCGCTCACCTGAGGTGGAGTTTCGCTCACCTGAGGTGGAGATTCGCTCACCTGAGGTGGAGTTTCGCTCACCTGAGGTGGAGATTCGCTCACCTGAGGTGGAGTTTCGCTCACCTGAGGTGGAGTTTCTCCAACAGCTGTTGGAGGGACCTGAGGTGAGGCTTCACGGACTAGTTGATTAGGATCACCTTCTGGAAACTCTTCGCCTTCTTCCGGGACTGGTATATATTCATACTTAGTCACTCTCATGTCAAAAGTTACCTTCTTACGCTCGCACCGTCTCTTAGCCAGAGGTTGGTCAGGGTCACACTCAAAGTAGGTACCATATACACACCTGTCGTCTTCTAGGTCTCCATCTCCTAACTTCAAAGGGATTTTCGACACATATGTCTCGCGGATCACTGACACAGCAGAGGGAGAACCGTCTGCTGTAAGCCTACCAGATTCCCAGCTCCTCTGGGGAAAGATAATACATCTTGGACTGTTCCAAAGACTGATGTCTTCGTCAATTCTCTGTTGTTGGCGAGTCACTGGCTGAGAACTGCATGTCGAACTGAAACTTCTTTTAAGACTTTGAGAGCCACGGTGCTTACCTCTTCGGTCAACGTAATTAGGATCAGGCCCTTGGCTGGTAGTGGGCTTATCAGAGGCATCAACACTGAAATTGAGTTCATGACCACAAGACGGACAGACGGAATCTCCCAGAATAATATAGTCGTTCTTCCGGTTGATTATTTTGAAACTTTCCTTGGATTGATTTGTCACTGACTGAGAGGCTTCATAATCACAACCACAGGATTTACAGTAGTACTTTGCTATCGCTGCAGAACCAACAGAATCTGTGTTTATATCATTGGTTTCTTTGACGGTCAGCTGAGGTGGCTCGGGTTCTAGCTGGAGAGGGATATTTGAGTCAGAAATTACTTCCCGGTCACAATCACTGTCACTGGACACAACATTCACAAACACCACCTGTGGTGAATCTGTTTCTCCATCTGATGTTTGAAGCTGGTTAACCACTATCTGAAAAGAGACGTCGGAATCATACAGCACTTCAGGCTCACAAGACTCGCTGCACTTTTCTTCTATGACAAGCTCTTTCTTCTCGGGGTCTGCTTCACTGTAAGCCACTTGAGGTGGGTCAACTTCTGACTGCAGATGGACACCAGAACTGCATGCTACTTCAGAACAACATGGCTGAAAGGTCTCGTTTTCTAGGTCATTCTGATTCTCTTTTTGCAAGTTAACTTCTTTGATGCACCCATCCTCCACAGATGGATCTGTCACAAACTGAACAGGGTCATCAGGGTAGTAAGCTGGTTCAAAATCAACTAGCTTGTAGCTCTTATCTTCCAGGTAAATACGGTCTTCCTTCAGATTCATTTCCTTGACAGTTTTTTGAAGATGGCCTGCTACTGACTGACAAGGTTCACCGGAATCCAAACTCGTTTCAGGACTGTCACGGGAATCAACAGTCACTTCAGGACCACAAGGACTGCTGCTCTTTTCGTTCAAACTGGTACACTCTTTTTGCAAACGTTGTGGTTTCTGAATCACTGAGCAAAAAATGACATTCGAAACAGACACTATTGTAGAGCCAGAGGGCTCACAGTCACTATCATGTGGACTAACATGTCCCCTCAGTAAATTTATTTCTTGAACAGCCTCTTGGGTTGTATTAGTCACAGACTGAATCGGTTCATCAGAGTGAAGGTTTATGTTTGAGTCACTAGATTCAACAACCTGATCTTCCGAATCACTATGATCTTTCCCACGGCTGATCTCCTGAATGACTTCAGCTTCAGCCTGGCCAGCCAATGACTGAGGAACACTGGAAACACATGTATTTCCAAAACCTTGCGCTTCATCCCTCTGCCCTTCCATGTCATCTTTATCCTTCTGACTTCCACTTTCATCACTTTCATTATGCTGAGCAGCCTCTGATTGGGCACAGTCATTAGAATCATAGCTTACCTCAGAATCACCAGACTCGTTATTCCTACCTTCAAGTTCAACGTGTTCAGGCTCCGAAACAGTTGTTTCAGGTGGTTCAACTACTGACTGGACCGAGAAATCAGAATCCAAAGTTGTTTCAGAACTGGTCTTCTGGCTGTCATCTTCCAAGGGCATTTGATCATGACTATCAAGATTTATTTGTTTAAGAGCTAGTTCAAGATGATCCATTGTAGAACGAAAAGAAACATTAGAATCGTGTATTAGTTTTGAATAGATAAGTTCACTGATTTTCTTTTCAAGGACCTTTGCCTCTTTCTTCCACTCATTCATTTTTGTGATCACGTCATCCTCTTTAGGCAGTGAGTCAAAGTGGCCGGTAGAATCAACATTTGCTGTAGAATCAGCTTGCTTGTCGTGTGTGTCTTCCAGTTCATCGTGGTTTTCCTTCACGGCTAGCTGAGGTGGGATAATGACTGAATCAAGACAACCAGCAGTATTCAGATTTTCTTCAGTTCCTCTAAGCTCAGTACTGTCATCTTTTGGGTCAGCATGGCCCTCTTCCAAAGCAGCTGGTTGAGGTTTCTCAGTCATTAACTGAGGAAACACATCAGAACTGAAAGTTGGTTGAAAGCCATCATATTCATCATCACTCTTGACTTCCTCAAGATGCTTTGTCTTTCTCTTTGCTTTCTTACCTACGTAGGGTTCTGTCGCTGGATGAGAAGCAGTAGAAGCAGCGGAACTGATTTCAGAATGAGACTCTGTACTTGTACCTGGCAATTGAGCATGCTTTTCTTCTTGATGGCACACATTTCTGACAATTACTTCACACTTGCGAATAACTGACTGAAAGGGGGTATGAGAATCCAATCTTGTTTGAGAAACACGGACTCCAATGGGATCTTCAGAACGTCCAGGCGTTGAGTTACGAGTGCCACAATTCAAACTTAGTCCAGAAACAGTAGGTCCATCTTCCTGTTGTTCCTGTTCTTCTTGTGGGGAATTTATCTTTTGAACAGCTACTTGAGAATTAGTCACTGAATGAAGAGGGGCATTAGAATCCAAACATATCTCAGAATCACTGGGGTTGTCATTCTTCCCTTCTAAATGAGCGTTTTCTTCTTCCTGAATGATTACTTCTTTAACAGCTACTTCAGGGTGATCATTTCCTGAATGAAGAGGAATATCAGAATCATATGTTATTTCAGAAACACAAGATGCACTACTCTTATTTTGCAGATCAACAGGCTCCTCCACATAAACAGCTACTTGAGGTTGGTCAGCTACTGAGTCATCGGGAATATCAGAATCAAAAGTTATGTCAGAACTACTTGACACACAGTTTTGATCTTCGAGGTTAAAGTCTTCGTTTATTCCTTCAAAATCCAGCAGAGACCGCCCAGTAACTGACAGAAGAGGGGAATCGGAATCAAATGTCAACTCAGAACTGGAGCACGCATTGCTCTTAACTTCCATGTCGACATTTAACTCATCAAGATTTAATTCACCCCAAGCCCCTTGAGGTTGATTGTTAGCTGACTGGTAAGAAGCATGGGAATCAAAACTTAGGTTAGACATGCCAGAGTGAACACTCTGATTCTCTAGGTCAAGATCTACTTCCTCGGGGTTTACTGGAGATTGAGCAGCCTCTAATCGAGCATCAGCATGAAAACCCACTTCAGGACCATGAGACTCACAGTTCATATCCCCACGGCTGGTATTCTTCTGGTTCGGAACATTTATTTCTTCTGCTTCTCTCTGGGGGGCATCAGCCACTGTCTCAACAGAGCCATCACCTTCAGGGTATGCTTCAGCACTACTGGATTGGTGTTCATCTTCTTGTTGGACAGCTCTGTCTCTTGGGCTTCTTTCTTGAACAGGCATTTGGGGAGCCACATCACTATCAGAACTAAAACTACTTGACCCGTAGTTCTCATCAACCAGGGGCGCACTGGCATTCTTCGGAGGCTGTTGCTGTCCCACTGCTGCTGGAATCTCATCAGCTGAGGACCCAGAGTCCTCAGCTGGTTCAGAGCTGCCGCTTCCATAGCTGTCAACCAAGCGGACAGCCATCTGTGTAGGAAGCATTGCTGCTCTCACAGGCTGTGGGGGACAGCGACTAGTTGAGGGACGTGAGTCATCATCAAAATTCACTTCAGAGCCACTAGACTCATAGCTTTCATCAACCAGACTAAAGACCTGCATGTTCTGTGTGATCACTGGAGAACGGTTGATGGGCACCTGACTAGAACTGCTGCCATTATTGGAAGTTGCTCCAGAAACAGTGGGTGTTTCATTCCTAGGCTGAACATCATCTTCTGACACACTTATTTCCCTAGCGGTCAGTTCAGATTGGGCACTGAGTGACTGACGAGAGGACCCACGATCAAAACTCACGTCAGAACCTCTAGACTCATAGCTCTCACCTTCTTGGTCAGCTCCCTCCTCTTCCTCTTCTTCCTCCTCCAAATGACTTAAGTCACGTACTGCAGCTTGGGAATGACCAGGTGCTGGCTGAAGAGAGCCACGGTCGACCACTGAGCGCCTCTGTTTTAGAAGTAGTGACTTGTTAAGAACCGGGCGTGTTTCTTCTTGGGGATGAACCACATTTGAACGAGGTGCCTCACGACGCTTTGGAATGGCACCTTCACGGGCTGCATCTGGTGGTGTGTCATTCTCACTGGGGTTTCCTGATGTGCCTGCCCCTGACTCAGAAGAAGACTCAACTCTTAGAGAACAAAGCTCAGCACTTGTTAGCTCACGCACTCGTACAACAGGGGAAAAAGATGCACCCTTAGCTCTGAGATTTTTCTGGGCAAGCAATTTGTCTAAATTTATATTTAATGGTTTCTTTTTTGGATCTTTAGGTTTGGGCTGAGATGGTGGATTGCTAGAGCCCTGATCTGGGGGGTCAAAGTATGGTTCAAGGTTCTCTGTGTCACAAGCTGGAAAGGAATCTGAAGCAACTGCCAGTACTAACCGAGGAACACTGTTAGCCGCAACTGGTCTCTCGAAAGAGCCTCTAGGCAAAGAGCTGGCAGGAGCATTACAAATCACTGGGGGACGCACTACCCCTTTTCCACTAGTTGTAGCCTGAACAACACCGACTGAATTAACTCTCTGCACACCACTCTCAACTCTCTGAGCCAACTCCAAGGACTGCTGCTGTCCCCGCTCCAGCCTTTGAATAACTGATGGTCGAACTGCAACCTCTGCACACTCCTGGGAAGTACCAGGTCTACAATCTATCTCTTCGACAGACTGAGAATCCTCGGAGTAGACCTCTCCACTACTCTCTGCAGTGTCATCCTCATTGTCATCTGAGTCATCCAAGATAACCACTTCAGGGGACCCAGGATCATCATCCTCATCATCATCATCATTATCTGCTACTGCTGCTGCCTCTGCTACTGCTCCTGCTACTGCTCCTCCTTCTGCTCCTTCTGCTGCTTCTGCTCCTTCTGCTGCTTCTGCTCCTTCTGCAGCTCTAAAAAGAATAAGGGGAAAGCCTCATTTGGTGCAGCTCTAAAAAGAATAAGGGGAAAAAACATTAAAATACCCTAGTTTTTGCTTAGAATTCATGGTATTATTTTCTATTATGGACCATTCTTAGTGGGAAAAGAACACAAGTTATCAAACCAGATTGTACACTCCATGTACTTCAGGAAGTTGCATGGTATAGAAGAAACATAAGTCCACCAATTGCTATTTCATAAACAAGTGGCTCCCGAACATGCAAAAATATAAATGAACCCCTGTATCCTTTTTGTGGTTATCACAATAAACATCACAAAGTTTGACCCAGAGGCTCAGGATGTCACTCAGTTGGTAAAGCAATTGCCTCTTGCCAAGTCTGTGCCAGGCCTTGGGTTTGAGCCCTAGAAACCTCAATTTTTAAGAGCTATGTCAAAAAAGACAAATTATACAGCTAATTATATCTAAAGAAGCACATGTAAGAAGCTAGCCCTATCTGTTACCTTTAGGAAAGTGAAAACTCTGGGGCCTTGACAGGCGTATAGGTAATATGTATTTGTCTCCTTTTTTTAAAGTGGTGATCTGGCTATGCTGCCCAGGTTTACCCTTCTCTAGGATGAGCAATGCTACCACATCAGTTTCCCAAGTAGCTAGAATTATAGGCATAATATCATCACACCTGACTTTTAAATCACTTTTGAATGTTTTGAATGTTCCTTCTGAATTATGCCTATGTATACTGTATTTGCCATTCGAACGTTTAAATTACTTTTTTTTGAGACAGAGTTTCTCTGTGTAACAGTTTCTGGTTGTCCTTGAACTCACTATGTAAACCAGGCTTACCTCAAAATCACAGAGATCTTCCTGCCTCTACCTCCAGAGTGCTGGGATTAAAGGTGTGCCCCACCATAGCTGGCTGATTAAATTACTTTTCTAAAGATCTGAAATTTCATATCTAAAAATCTCTTCTACTGCCATCAGCACAACATGCTTGATCCAAAACATTTTGGGGCTCCTTCTTTCATATATATCAACAGCTGTCCTAAAGATAGTGTCATAGTCTTAATTCAGTCATAGCAATCACCTACTAAAGGTTCTCTACTCAGCGGTACTCTCTATGGTAGATATTGAACAAATTCAAAGATAATCTGGCTCTCAAGAAGCATTCAGTTAGCAGCAACATCCAGTGCAAAGTGTCAGTAACATCTTACTGAGACCCACTCAAAGGGTATCACAACCAAGAGAAGCCTAAGGTAGCATAAGCTAATTTAAAGTGGATATCCTAAAACAGAAAGAAGTCAAATTTGGAAATCTTAGTTTGAAAATGCAATTTAAAAATTACTAAAGAGGCTGGGTGACAGTGACATGACTTTAATCCCAGCGCTCAGGAGGCAGAGTCAGGCAGATCTCTGTGAGTTAGAGGCTAGCCTCATCTACAGAGTGAGTTCTAGAACAGCCAAGGCTACAAACAGAAACCCTGTCTCACAAAAAAAAAAAATTACTAAAGAAATTTGAACAAATTATAAACTTTAATGTATTATAAGTCCATTAGTTATCACAAATGTATCAGACTAGTGTTGAGGCACCAATATTAGGTAAATTCAATGAAGTCATATTATAAAGATCCTCTTTGCGGGGGGGGGGGGGGACAGTGTCTTACTATGTAGCCCTGCTGTGGTGGAACTCGCTCTGTAGACCATGCTGGTCTCTAACGCACAGGGATATCATACTTCATAAGTACTGGGAATAAAGGCATGTACCGCTATGCCTGACTTTATAAAAACCCTCTTTATTAGCACTTTTAATTTTTCTGCTAAAATTTTCTTTAGAAGGTTACAGGCTAAGGCTAAAGGAGATGGCTGCAATGGTAGAGCACCTGCTGTATGAGGATGTGAGTTTGGATCCCCAGCACCCGAATGAGAACCAGAAACAGGCATGGCAGTGCCCATCTATAACACCAGCAACGTGCACTGGAAGGACCCCAGGGGCTCACTGGCCAGCCAATCTAGTCAAAACAGGTAGTCCCAGGCAGAGTGTGAGACTATCTCAAAACATAAGGTGGGGAACCACAGACAGAACCAAGCTCTAGTTTCTTGCACACACATATAATTCTATAGTTTAACAATAGCAAAGTGGCAAACACCTGTAATCTCAGAACTCAAGAGACTGTGGAAGAGGATATCAAGGGTATGTTCTAGGACACTGAAAAATATACAACAGGTGCTCACTTCGGCAGCACATGCACTAAAATTGGAATGATAGAGATTAACATGACGGCTACATGAGGATGATTGCAAATTTGTGAAGCATTCCATATTTTTGTTTGTGCTTCTGGTATTTTTAAGATATGTAATGAAATAATGTGTTAAAATAAAAAGTGATAAACAAATCCCTAGCACTGTAGTAACCAAATGAATGTCTATAAAAGTTAGAAATACAGCTAGGTGTTGTGGTGCATGCTTTCACTACCAACACATGGGAGGCAGTGGCAGGTGGAACTCTGTGGGTTTGAGGGCAGCTTTGTCTACATAGTGAGTTCTGGCCAGCCAGGTCTACATAGTGAGACCCTGTCTTAGGAAAAAGAAAAGGAAAGGGTAAAACTTAAAAACTAAGTTATTTTTTTAAACTTGAAAAATGCCACAGTAGTCTAAAAGCATGTGTGCATGTGTCAACAACTGCTTTTATTTTTTTTTTTCTAAAGACTTATTTTATGGGCGGGCTTCACCTGCACAAAGTGTATTGGCCTAGATATTGCACCACTAGTATACCTGCTATCTGTAAAGGCCAGAAGAGGAGGTAGAACCCTTAGTACTGAAGTTACAGGTGGTTGTGAGCAACCCACTGGGGGTGTTTGGAACCAAACGTGAGTCTTCTGGAAGCACAGCTAGTGTCTTTAGGCACTAAGCCCCAAGCTGCTCTTCTATTAACCTATCAGAAGTAGTAGTGCTTTCATTCCATAAGTCACTGTGGTGGTTTGAATAGGTAAGGCTCCAATAGTGTTTTAAATGCTTGTCCCATAGGGAGTGGCACTATTAGGAGGTGTGGCCTTGTTGGAGGCAGTGTGTCACTGTGGTTGCAGGCTTTGAGGTCTCAGATGCTCAAGCTACAGCCAATAGAACAGATTCCTTCTGCTGTCTATGGAAACTCTCAGCTCCTTCACCACCACCACGTCTGCCTGCATGCTATTGGGTCCTGTCATGATGATAATGGACTCAATCTTTAAAACTATTAACCAACCCCAATTAAATGCTTCTCTTTATAAAAGTTGCCAATGTCATGGTAAGTAGCCAGAGTTTTTCCAGGCATGCACTCTAGCCTAGTTCAAGTCCTATGAAATTAAACTACAGAAATAGTTGCTGTGATGATTTGAATGATAATGGCCTCCATAAGCTCATATGTTTAAATACTTGGTCCCCAGTTGGTAGAACTGTTTGGGAAGAATTAAGAGGCATGGCCTTGTTGGAGGAAGTATGTCACTGGGGGTAGACTTTGAGGCTTTAAAAGCCCACACCACTCCCAGTTAGCTCTATCTCTCTCTGCCTCTTGCTTGTGGATCAGATTTAAGCTCTCAGCTACTGCTCCAGCACCATGTCTACCTATTGTCATGTTCCATGATGCTATGATAGTCTGGATTCTAACCCTCAGGAACCAAGTATCCCAAGTTAAATGCTTTCTTTTGTAAGTTGCCTTGGCCAAGGTGTTTTATTACAGAAGATGAAAAGTAACAAAGAGAGTTATACAAATTTACTTTTTGAAGAAATGCTTATAAGGATCATTAATCAAAAAGTCTCATGTATGATCCTATGGTTAGTCTAATCTGATCTTTCTACCAGCTCTTATTATGAAACAACATCTGAAAAAAGTTTCCCCATTAAAATGTTTCATCATTTAGTACCTTGCAAAGCATAAGTTTCTTTTTCTACCACTGGTGTGCACCTCAACTAATTCTGTATAGGTAAGTTCCCATTGTGCTTTGCTTAACTTGTATACTTGTTATAATCTGATTTCTAGGTTTTTTAGCCCAGAAAATTAACCGTTAACGTTTAAATGTTATCAAATGTTTCTTTTTATTACAACAACCAAAACAAGCTGATTGGTAGGGGGAGCTATCAAAAGCTAGAAAGATGACTTAAAGAATACAGATGTTCGTCACCAAGTCTGTATGTGATTCCCAAAACATGCATGGACAGTACTTTAAAAGAAAAAACCTAGCTCCTGCAAGTTGTCTTCTAACTTCTACATATACACAAAACGAATAAATAAATAAATAAATAAATATAATAAAAATTTTATTAAAAATCTTTTTAGACGACATCAGGATTCTGACAGAGTATTAAGAAACCATTCAATCTAATACATCCTCCACTCAGTCAGCACACAGTTCTATTAAAATAGAACTTTGACTATCTTGTCATATTATGACTTAGCTTTTCTGTTACTGATCTTTCAAAACGTTTTGCTCCACCCTCACCCAACATTTAATTCTATGACACACCTAAAAAAGCACCTTAACAACACATAATTACTTATCAGGCTAAGACATTTACTTAGGAAAAAGCATAGTTATGTCCATATTTTCTGTAGTGAACTGATTGTCATTAGCAGGACTGAGGACTGAAGCCAGAGATTCACTAATACTAGGCAAGCACTCTGCAACTCAGTTAACACTCCCAGATGTATAGTGAAAGATCACGCAAACAACTGAGGTCAAGAAGTGGCTCAACAGTTACAGTACTTGCTGCATAGTAATGAGGACCAAAATTTAGACACCAACAGCCATATAACAAGTTAGGCACTCTGTACATGCCGTAAAAGTAGCTCAGAGGTGGGGAGAAACAGGGACTACTGAGACTTGAAGGCTGCAGCCTTCCCAGAAAACACTAACCTGAACATGCAGGTGTACATGCACACACATATGCACGTACAAACACACACACACACACACACACACACACACACACACACACAATCAATCTTTAAAAATAAAAAATAAATTAAAAAATATCCAGTCTTAAAATACATTTGTAATGTTTTGCCTGCATATATGTGTACTATAAACATTCATGCAGAGGTCCAAAGAGGATGTCAGATCCCCTGGAACAAGAGTTACAAGTGGTTGTGAGCCAGTGTATAGGTGCTAGGAACTGAACCCAGGTCCTCTGCAAGAGCAAGTTCTTTCAACCACTGAGAAATCATTCCAGACCCCCTATACAAATAAATCTTTAAATACATAAGTAAAATAAACAATTGGAAATGGAAGTTACTAGATACAATTTTATTTAAGGGCTAGATAAGTGCTAACTCTTCTAACCCTAAATCAAAATTGTATCCAGTAACTTCCATTTTCAATTATTTCTTTTTATTGGTTAAACAAGACAGTTCACTACAGAGCTGGGAATGCACCCAAGGTAAAGTGTTTGCCTGGCATGTTTGAGCCCTTAAGTTCTATCCCTAGTTCCACAAAAACAACTTTTTTTGTTTCCAAGACAGGGTTTCTCTGTGTAGTCCTGGCTGTCCTGGAACTTGCTCTGTACACCAAGCTGGCCTCAACTCACAGAGATCCGCCTGCCTCTACTTCCTGAGTGCTGGGATTAAAGGTCTGCACCACTATCACCCAGCTTCACTTTGTATTTCTTAAATTCAATTACAGACTTTAAAAGTTAGGTATGGAGCCACATTCATATAATCTCATCATTTGATAAACAGTTTGAAGCCAGTCTGGGCTACACAGCATCTCCAGAAAAGACTAGTCCTGGGCTACAAAGCAAGATGGTGGGGATGGGTAAAACATAACACTGACCACCTTACCTGTTGTCTTGATAATTGTATGGGTGGTGTCGTAGAACGTCCTGCAAAAAGCGCTCCATCAGACTGTTGTTGGTGGTTGTCCGATGCCGGCTCTGTCTGGTCAGGCTTCTGTGCTGAGCACTAAACAAGTGCTGCAAAGAAAACCAATGGGGGTTTTAAGTGAATAACTGCTACTTGCAGTGACACAGAATGGACTCACGTATGTATCTGTTGTAGAAATATAAGTTGATGTTTTTTCCATACAGCACTACTAGTATGTGTATCTAAAACCATAAGTGTGTCTCCCTAAATATAGTTATTACATTCCTCTAATACATCCTAAGGATGACGTCAAAAAGGACGCTTAACACACCATAACATAGTGATAAAGTGGAAACTGCATAACAATATCCTTGAATTATAATGTACACTAAGATGTAATACCATGCAGCTACCTAAAATAAAGAAACGATAATAGCATAAAGAAATACTATGTATTGAGAGAAAAATCGTATGTATGGCTCTATCTCAAACTACAGTTTAAAAATATACAGACAAGCAAATGGAAGAAAATGTTTAAAATCTTAAAAGCATACTTTTAAGTGATATAGTTATGGATAATTTATAATTTTTCTTAAATTTTTTATATTTTCCAAAGAGTATTTTTATAATAAAAAAGACTGTGAAAAGAGAGAACAGGGTTGGATTATGGTATTTAAAAAGAACAAAGATTAACTCAAAAAACCCTTCATTTCTTTTCCTTCAGTGATTAAGAAGAATCCCGCCTTGGCAGGATATTGGTGTAAGCACATTAAAGTCTTCAGCTTTACACAGATCCTAGTATTAGTGGATTAGCCACATGATAAGAAGGAATCTAACACAGGCTGCACCAGACCATATGTCACACACAGGGTTACTCAATCCACCTAAAAAAGCTCACTCATTTTCACTCCGCAAGAACAGTGCCCTCTTCTGACACAAAGAGAGTGGGGCACAAAAAATAAAAGCAAACCTCCTTAAATTCTGTACCCAGCAAACAGCAAAGCCAGGATTTGAATGAGAGCCAAACTGTAGGTTATGTGCTTTTCATTGTCACATAGCTAATATAAATGGCATATTATCACATATGTTCTTCATAATACAACATGCTGTAACAATACTTAAGAAAAATCATGTTTTAATATATCATAGTTATGGTACTATTTAAAAAAACAAAACAAAACAAAACAAAACAAAAAACCGCAGGTTTCTAGTTCCTGACCACTGTTACAACTCTTGTAATTATTTCCTGTCATGCTAATGTGAGAATTTTTCTGCACTGTTCCCTTAGCCCCAGGAACAATCAAATATGACAGTCTCAAAATCTTCCTGCTACAAACTCCCCCACTGTCCAATGCCCATCACCAGAGCTAGACTGCTGGTAATGTAAAGGACAAGTGTACAAGGGAACAAATAAAGATTCAACTGAAATCCAACCTTGTCCTCTCTCTGCTAAGGCAGAAAGAGAAAGAGCAATGTGAGCGGAGGAAACGGCATCTGAGAAAACGGCAGGGGCTACCACATGATACATGCCCCACACAAGTTTATTGACAATTTTTCAACATGTAAATCACATGAAACACACAAATACTTGTATGTAGCACACTAAACCATCACAGAATAAACATGTCCATAACCATCTGTCCACAATTATAAATATCTAGAAATCCCTCTACTGCCCCATACCAATCTAACATGCCTTCCCTCATCCCCAAGTGTAACTATAACTCTGATTTCTAATACTCTGGTTTTGAAAGATTCTGAAAGTTATATAAATGACACCATACGACATATATTCTTTTACACTGAGCTCCTCTCATTCGACACTACATTTATGATACTATTCAACATTAGCTATATTCTGTTCATCTACATGTACACATCTGTACTCTACGTTATAATAATGTATCATATTTTGTGCATTCTGCTCATGATGGATTTTGGACATTACAATGTTGCAAAGAACCGTGCTATTGGTCTTGTGTGACAAAACATCCATATTTTGGGGGACAGATTACTAGGAGTAGAACTTCTGTGTCACATAGTACATGTATGTTCAGCTTCCATACCTAGTCTTCCAAAGTGGTGAAATAATTTATGCCTCAACCAACAGGATAACTTTACCTTTGGATTTTTCTACTTCATCATCAACATCTGGTATTCTGCATTTTACATTTTAGCTATTGTGGAAAGTGTTCAATATATATTGTGGACTTAATCCACAATCTGATGATAGCTTTTTATTTTTACTGGCAACCCAGATTGTCTCTAATTATGGGTCCATTCAAATTTCTTTCTGATGTTTTGTTTTTTTTTTTCTTCAAGACAGGGTCTTCATCTCCAGAATGTTGGGTTACAAGCAAATGCCACCATGTCAGCTCCTCTTCCTGTTTTTCAAACAGATGTCTTCTTCTTTATTAACTTGTAGAATTTATTTATTCTGGACACAATCTCTTCATTCAAGTATCATCTTCCTTTCTGTGGCTGATCTTCTCAATTCCTTTCTGTAGCTAGCTGGTCTTCTCACTTCCTTTCTGTAGCTGGTCTGGTCTTCTCACTTCCTTTCTGTAGCTGGTCTGGTCTTCTCACTTCCTTTCTGTAGCTGGTCTGGTCTTCTCACTTCCTTTCTGGAGCTGATCTGGTCTGCTCACTTCCTTTCTGTAGCTGGTCTGGTCTGCTCACTTCCTTTCTGTAACTGGTCTGGTCTTCTTACTTCCTTTCTGGAGCTGGTCTGGTCTTCTCACTTCCTTTCTGTAGCTGTTCTGGTCTTTTCACTTCCTTGCTGTAGCTGGCTGGTCTTCTTACTTCCTTTCTGTAGCTGGTCTGGTCTGCTCACTTCCTTGCTGCAGCCAGTCTTCTCACTTTAACCATCTACCACTTTCTTAATTTTATTGCAGCCATTTTCTTAATTTTTTCAATGTTTTTTGTTGACAGAAAGCTCTTCTTCACAAGTCATGAAGAGTTGCTCCTGTTTGTTATTAGTTCCTTTATTATGTTACCTACAACATTCACATCTATAATTCATTTGGAATGAATTTTTACACACAGGATGATTCAAAAATAGCTTTATTATTTTTCCCAACTAGGTATTCAATTGGCACATCAGCATCTACTAGCAGCAAGTCTGGGTCCTTGCTGCTCTGCAGTGTCACCTTTGTCACAGATCCAATACACACATTCATCTATCTCTGGAGTTTGTTTCTTTGTTTTAGTTTTTGTTTTTTTTTTTCTAATTTTGCACCAAGACTGCCTTGTCTAATGAGTAAAGGTAAGAATGGTTATCTGATGGAATACACCTTCTCTCTCAGATCTTCTTTAATATCATCTGGTTCTCATCTTTTTCATTTCCATATGTATACTGGCTTAATTTCCATTGGAATTTATGTGATTTTCACATAATTAATATTAACTCTCTCAATCCATGAAAATATTGGTTCCTTCTCTCCCCCGCCCCTCAGTGCTGGAGATTAAACCTATGGCCTAAAGCAAGCTCAAGCAAGCATGCAATCACTGAACTAAATCTTCAGCCTTCAGTGTTTACAGGTTGTATGTAAAGATTTTATACATATTTTATTATAGTTATTCTTCATATTTTTATTTTCTTTGATGTTATTGTAAATTATATCTTTAGATACCATTTTCTGCAGAGTATCTGCATATGTGAATATGACTTTTTCTGTTGTTCAAACCACCTTGGTTTTTTATTTGTTTGTTTTTCAACCAAAGGCTCCCCCATGGTGCCCAGGCTGATCCCAAATGCATAGAATCAAATGACCCTCCTACTTCAGCCTCTTCCAAAGTTAGGACGACAGGCATGCCCTATCACACCTGACTCCAATAAGCTTTTAAACTCATTAATTCTAATAGTTTATCTAATTTTTGTTTTCTAGTCCATCATCATGTTATGACAACTGTATTTTATCTTTTTACCCAATTATCTTTATCATTTTTGTCATTTCTTTATCTTTTTTTCTTTCTTATTTCTGTGGCTAAGATCTCCCATAAAGTATTAAATATAGTTTTATTTTTTCCTTTTTGAGTTACTGTCATATACAGCAGACAAGTGCTCTACCACAGAAGTAAACATGCACGCACACACACGTAGAACATATTTTTAATTCAAGCAGTACGTCTATTTTCACTTGGGTATACTTGAAAGTCTGTTACTTATTATTCTTATGGGTATTTTCTCTCTTCTTTCTTCCTCTTTATTATTCTAATTTCTCCATTTTGTTAGCTCAGTAGTTAAGACTCTCTTCCTAGTCTACTAGTAGGATCAAATGACATGTCTAAACTATCAAAGTCTAAAATTACTATTTCATTCTCTCCTTAAACAATGTAAGATCCTTAGAAATTAACTACTTACTACCCTCCCAACCTACATCACTGTTAATCCCACAAACATGATTTATTGATTGCCTACATATTTACCTGTCCATTGTTCTTCATTACTTCCTGATAGCTCTGAGCCTCCATCTGGAACCATTTTCCTTCTGCCTGAAGAACTCCTTTTAGTTTTTCCTTTAGTGAGGGTCTGCTGGTGACAAATTCCCTTAATTTTTGTTTCCTGAAAATATTTTTATTTTACCTTACGTAAAAGTTACACTTATTGAGTAGAGAAGTCTAGGTTGGCAGTTGTTTTCTTTCTTTTGGCTCCCATAGTTTTCTATCGAATACTCCACTAGGTCCAGGCCCCGTATTTCTTCACTGTTCCAAGCTTTCAAAGTTAATATAAATTATCCTGGCTGTCATCAACAGAATGTTTTTCAATGCCAATTTAGTGCAAGAGTGTCCAAATGAATAAAAATTATTTTAAATATTAGGCAAAAAAAATGCATCAAATCTTTATTGAACAGAACCTGTAGTCAAGGAATTAATGTTTTACAATTGCCAAAGGTTCAACAAGTCCAGTTATGTAATGAAACAATTTATCAATCATAAGAGAAAGATAAAGAGACTTCATTTATTTTCTGCCTCATGTTTATGACCAGCAATTAAAAAAGTTTTTTTTTTTTTTGAAAAAGGGTAGAGGAGTTAAAAAAAATCACAACGAAAAAACTTTTTAACTATGAAATTAATTGATTTCTATTAAACAAGACAAATGCCACCACAC